GAGATCAGACTGAGAAGCACCGGCCGGTCCTCCTCGCATGCCTTGCACTCGAACAGAACTGTCCAGTTATCGCCAGACACGGCGTAGTCCCAGGTTTGTCTGAGCCCATCAATATTGAGTACCCAGTTGAAGCGGACTATGTTGAGCCGCGCCTCTTCAGGCGAAGATGCCTTCGGGCCCTCGTCATCGGCGTCGTCCTGCCTGAGCCGCCGGCTCCTCCCAGCCGCTCTGCGCCTGTGTGTGCGATGGCGATGCCGACGAGACAAGCAGACTGAAAAGACACAAGGGCAGCAGTCACATGCAAAGCAAAAGAGGTGAAGGGTGCGTGTGAAACACTGTCATGCGTCTGCTCATCTGACTCACCCGCAAGATGACAAGCAAACACGACCAGGATGAAGATGCTTCCCAGTCTCATCTTTGCTTCGTCAAGCTGGTCTCGGCGGTCACTCTTTCACAGGCTTTCCTTCTCTTAGTATCGTAGCTCGCATTCGCGTGCGAGCTTTCAAAGAGGAGGGGAGAGTGATGTCAGGGCCTGTAGCACGTCAAACCACCGAGAACAGCAGGAGACGAGGGCATGTGGAAGGAGGAGTGCAATTGGAGGAGTGCAGAGACCCAAGAGAAGGCACTCTCCAAATCGAGTGGCCGGTGTGGCGTGCTCCAAATCGAGTGCCTCACTGGTGACTGCTGCATGGAGCCAGACAGACAGACAGACACATGGAGGTCTTGTTCCTTGGCACAACCAAAAGGCCAAACCGAAAAGGAGACTCAGTTGACCAGTCAGTCTGCTTGAGAGAAAGGTGTCAATCTGAAATGAAGTAATTGGACGAGAGGGGCCGACAGCCGTTGCTCTGTCGCGAATTGCTTCTTTCAACACGGGCGGGTTTCGCACGGCGGGTTTCGCACACCACACATTCAAGCCCATTCACGATTTACCGGTCAATTGTCTCACGTCTCACTGTCGCTTCACTGTGTCTCTTTCCACCATCTTTTTTGTCCCTCGTCAAACGCCCACAAACATGCCGGCCATCAGCCAACGAGCCGGCTCCTCCATTTTGGAGGGGCCCTCGCTGATTTGCTGATAGCACATCAGCCACACTAGGCACGATTTCAGACAGCCGAGTCACTATGGATCTGTACAACATGCGCACATTGTCGGCAGCCCATACGAAATAGTCGTCAAACTGCGCTGTAGATTTGTCCATGCAAATGTGTCCCAAGTAGTCAGGCGGGCGACGAAAAATAGCTTTCAGTCAGACACACAAACACAGATCAGACAGCGGGCCGACCCGTGAGAGCTGCCATTCATCCACCTGACGCGTAGGGGGAGGACCAGAATGAAGGCATCGGGAGGTAACAGGACACATGAATGAAACAGCACCGCGAACAAGACACACAACAGCAGATGCACACCCTCCGGAGGATAGAACAACTACATGTACACAGCGAACAAGGATGAAGCGAGACACGATATGACACAGCCGTCACTCGCGTCACGTGCGTGCCTCTTTTGAGAACAAGCACACGACGAAATAGAGCACACTGCTGCAGCACAGTATCCGCAGCGAGCGCGAAACAGCACCAAAGGGATCACTACCTACCTACCTACCTGCCTACCGCACCCATGGTCGACTTAACGCTGTGCACGTCAATTTCCCACCGACCCATCCATCCATTAATCCATACGCGCATCGACACATGCAGTCTGGTGTGCACTCAGAGAGAGAGAGAGAGAGAGAGAGAGGGGGG